GGAGGTAGTTTAAGGCGACTTGAAACAGTGATCTCAGCAGGGAACAAGCCAGAACAACAGCAAGGCATAAAAAGTAGGAGCACATCACACCAGAGTGTCCACCAACCACTCATCTCGGGAAAGAAAAAGAGAAAGAGACAGATTCTACACAGAATGCCAAAACCAAAGCCTGTTCAGGATTAGTCACAGTTCACGATTACACTCACGCTATTAATTTAATCTCTAATCCTTCACAGTACAATTCTAATAGGTTATTTATATTATATAGGCCTGAAACCAGAGATGACACGCTTCACTTGAACATGACTATAAAAATTAATAATAACAGAGTCAGCCAGTGGTGCTCTCAAACCGCCCAGTCACAAACCGGTCATTTCAAAGGCAGAGAACTGGGTTAGAGTAAATAAGGAAGGAAAAAAGCCTGCGACGATTTACGGTCAGGGACATCAATGTACATTGTGCACGTTATCACGCGGGTACACCCTAGGGAAGATGTTCATCATGCCAGCGTTTCCGCAAAGAAGGGATCGTCGCTTTTCCTCCTGCTGTGCAGCGAGGATAATATTTATTCCTGCATCCCCCGCTCATCCCCCCACGCCCTTTCACAACTCACCGTGGAGAGGACAACAGTGCAGCACGACACCATGCATGATGTGCTAAAGACGGACAGTCGACACACACACACATCCCCCCCTCCCCCCGCCATTGCCGGTGCCAAAACAAAGACAGCCCCCCACTATGCCTGCTATGTCGACAATTCGGGTTCCTAAATTTCCAAAAACGGGGCTGCTGCTACGCAAAGAGGAAAAGGGGGGAGGGGCAGGAGAGAAAGAGAGAGAGAGAGAGAGAGAGAGAGAGAGAGAGAGAGAGAGAGAGAGAGAGAGGGGGGGAAGGCGTGCTCTCTCCCACAACAGCCAAACGACAACTAAAATCGTAACAACAACTACAACCCCCTACCCTTAGCGTACTAAGCCCCTACCCCTTCCCAGAAATGACCCCGCCCTCTTGACACAGTTTCGCGTCATCGCCTCCTCGATTTTTGACTGAGACAACTGGTGGAGCAA